ACACAAGCAGCAGAGACAATGAAGTCTGTCTGTCTGTCTGGAGGGTGAGTCAGGCTGATGATGATGATGAAAGTGCTATCAGTTTCCTGGGCTTGTGTCGGAAGAGCAGCAAGTTGTTACAAGCTGGAGAAGAAGTTTGTTCCTCATAGGGGAGCAGCCCGGCTCCGTCCCTCTGCAGCGCCCGCCGCTCTATCAATGAGTCTGCCTGGAAATGAATTCGCTTTTACAGTAACAAGTCCGGAGGAATGTCACAGCTCATTTGCATAGAAGGGGGGCAGCCGGCTGGCCAATGGTGGGGCTTCCTTGGGCGGGAGGGGCGTGTCCTCAGTCCCCGGGAGCTACTGCTGTAGGAGACTGAACTACTGTGAAGGGGCGAGTGTGTCAATGGGATGGCTGGAGCGCTCTGCCCGGCCGCTGCTGGCCGTCTGTGTGTCCGCTTCCAGCTGTTAAAGGACTGCAAGTCCCAGTGTGACTGATGTAGCACTGCAAGTCCCAGCGTGACTGATGTAGCACTGCAAGTCCCAGTGTGACTGATGTAGCACTGCAAGTCCCAGCGTGGCTGATGTAGCAGTGCAAGTCTCAGTGTGACTTATCTAGGACGGCAAGTCCCAGAGTGGCTGCTATTGGGTTACAAGTCCCAACGTGGCTAATGTAGGACTGCAAGTCCCAGCATGGCTGATCTAGGACGGCAAGTCCCAGCGTGGCAGATCTAAGACTGCAAGTCCCAGAGTGGCTGCTATTGGATTACAAGTCTCAACGTGGCTGATGTAGGACTGCAAGTCCCAACGTGGCTGATGTAGGACTGCAAGTCACAGCGTGGCTGATCTAAGACTGCAAATCCCAGCATGGCTGCCTACAGTTTAAGATATTTCACACGTATACAGCTGCTCTCTAAGCTTTAGCTGCGGTAGGACTGCAAGTCCCAGCATGGCTGCCTAGAATCTAAGACATATCACAAAGGCACTGCTCCTTTCTAAGCTTTTGCTGCTGTAGGACTAAAAGTCCCGGCATGGCTGCCTGCAGCTGCTTTCTAAGCACCACAGTGTCTTGGCAGGAAGAACACTACACCCACATGCCTCTGAATCTGCTATAAAGACACTTTTTATTTTTGGGGTTGAACTTGATGGGCATGTCTTTTTTTTTTTCAACCTAGTTACGTTTGACTGTTCACATCCCATTCTCCCAAAGCTGAACTCCAGGAAACCAGCTAAATACAGAGATGAAATACATACATGGGAGCTGTGTTACCTGCCAAATACATCCGGTCCTGAGATTTACACATCTCTGCTACACAGCACAGCCCTGCCTGAGACCTGTTTTTTTCTCTACTGCATACCCTTATAGGTCTTGCCACAGCCTGCGATTAGCCAGTGAAAGAGAAGCAGCATACTGATGAGCTCATCTCTCTTTCACTCTGCTCTCTCCTCTGTCAGAATGCCTTATATATATATATATATATATTTCCATTTCCCAATCTGAGCTCTGCTGTACAGGGACTGTAAGATGCTAATTAAGGGCCATACACCATAATGCACAAGTTTTAAGGCATGCATTGAGGTGCACCATGTTAAGGCAGCATGTTATTACATATGACATATGTCCATTGCAGTGCATTTTAGAAATGTGAACCTGTCAGGTCCTTACAGACATCTCTGGTGGGTTGTTTGACTTGCGGAGAGCTTGGACGGCACGGTCTTTGATGGCTTGCTTGACTGAGTGACTAATACCATAGTGCGTAGGTGTGGAACCGAAGTCTACATTCTTATACATGGCTATCGGTAGTATTTGTTCATGTAACTGTCATGGCCGACCACAGTCCATTGCACACAATCACGGTACCGCACACATGATGGCGGGAAAGCACAATTGTTTGATGGCCTCTATAGATATAATTTGGGGGGGTACGACTCTCAGGAGTATGTGGCCAGAAGTGGTTTTTGCTCAGGCATCCCGCAACACTTGCTGGCAACAAACAGGGCATCTTATAGGAAACTTAACCAGCTATCAAACTCAGAAGTGACTTCAGGGATGAATGTGACCAATCGCCAACAATTTTTATGAACACTGCAAGGATCTGAAGCAGCTTTTCTCAACTAGGGATGTTGCATGGAACCCTTGGATTCCTCCAGAGGTTCAATGGGCAATGAGAAGTTTCTGCCTCTCAACTAAGCAACCACTGACACCAGAAATATTTTTAGCATTCTGTAAGGTGGGATTTGTCCCCACTGGCCATCAATGTAAAGAGCATTCTTCCTACTGAGCAACAATGTACTGGGGCCATTCTCCCAATAATCATGAGTGTAATGGGGCCCTGCTGCCAATGACCACCTATGTAAACTTGTCCTTATCCCACTGACCACCAATCTATGGGATGCTCTTCTTCACTGGCACCAATGTAAATGGGCCCTTCTGCCACTGACCACCAATCTAAGGAAGCCCTTCTTCACTGATCATCAATACAAAGTGGTCCTCCTCCCACTGACCACCAATCTAAGGAAGCCCTTCTTCACTGGCCATCAACATAAAGTGGTCCTTCTTTCACTGACCACCAATTTAAGGAAGCCTATCTTCACTGACCATCAATGTAAGGTTGTCCTCGCACTGACCACCAATCTAAGGAAGCCCTTCCTCACTGACCATCAATGTAAGGTTGTCCTCGCACTGACCACCAATCTAAGGAAGCCCCTCTTCACTGACCATCAATGTGACATCCATCTCTATTCTGATCTGCAGACCAGCAGGGGATCCATAGAACGAAGGTGCCCGTGTGAAAGGGGCCTGAAGCTACTCATCTACTAATAGATTTTCATACAAAAGTTCATCCAGAAAAATATCAGCAGAACATTCGATAATGCCATCATAGACTTGACAAATGTTCTTCAAGATTCCATTTGATTTTAACATTCAATTCATTAATTATTAGAAAATCGAACGGACGTTCTGAAAACACATTTTTTTCGAACAAATTTCTACTGGTGTATGGCCATCCTAAATGTCAAAGACATGCCAATATCAATATTTCTTGAATGAACAAAGTTCTAACAGTGAATGTGGTTTCCATTGAAGAAATTCCTTTCATTCCAAAATTGAATGTTAAAATCAAATGGAATTTTGAAGAACATTCGTCAAGTCTCTGATGGCATTATCGAATGTTCTGCTGATATCTTTCTGGATGAACCTTTGTATGAAAATCTACCAAACACTCACAAACTCCCCATGACACTAATAAAGGATTAGGAGAGACAGACGGCTATAGTTTATGTGCAGGAGAAACATTTTCATGAACTAGCAGACACAGCGAACGGCCGACCTCAGCAGAAAAGAAGGATGCACAAAACCACAAAAAACATCGGTACTTGTTAAAAAGAATAGTTGTGCTGCCCACAGCAAATCAGTTCCGCCATATTTCTGGAGTAAAGGTAGCCACAGAAGTAAGACTGCGCTGTAATCTTATTGGGGGAATACTATCAATGCCCAAATATGAGCCTGAACCTTGAGGGGTCTACACATTCATCAACACAGAGGCTCAGTGGCTACTCCTGATTATGCCACAACTGAAGTATTATCGTCTCACCACCATTTGCTCAGGCCGAGGGAGCCATTCAGATCCTCCACCCACACAGATCTGGCCCTTCGCCGTGGACAACACAGAGAACAGAAAGTGAGGTGTTGACCACCAGGACTGTAGGAGTTCCACTCCGGAACGGAAGTAGGTAATTGTGGGGGCATTTCAATAATGATAGTCTCAGATGGGCCAGTGAAATTCAAGTCAAGTTTTGGACTTTACCTCTGCTTTATGCCTCACAGGGAGTGCATTGTTTTCAATGTGTCAGCTGACTAAGAGGTGTAAATTTACTATAGGAGGAGAAGACTTTTACCTAGAAAAGTGAAGATATGTTAATATCAAGCATACCTGGGTATTTAAAAGAGAAATATGGGGTAAGTGTTTTTCCCCATAGTTCTCTTTAGGGTCACGGGAGCACACCTCCTCCCGTGACCCAAAGCTCAGTATATAGCTGCTATTGCCCGCGATGTACTGTGAGCGCTGCAGCCGGGACGGATCCCGACATTATGAGATCCACCCAGCTGCATGAGAGACATCTGGATCTGCCTATCTAGAGGCAGAGCCAGCTGTGCCCGCCCTCTCCCCCGTCCGTTCCTCCGCTCAGCGCTGGAGGATCGGAGTGGGGGGGGGGGGA